AGCGGTCGGAAGGGACCGTAGGGAGCGCGTGGCTGCCTCGTCTCCCGGCGTGCAGCGTAGGCAGCTAGGATTAAACCCAACGGGACGAGAAGGCTCGCGCTGAGGAGGGGATGACAGACTGCACCTGAGTTCAGAGATACTAACCGCTTAAACTGAAATGTTTTCTTTTTGGTACTAGGGAGAAAAATTCCTCTGGTTTTAACTGTGGATTTTCCTATTCAAACAGGTTGAAACGGTTCCCCTGACAGCAGTGAAGACGGGATTGCAGAAAGGTGAGTTACGTACAAGAATAAACTTTATTAAAACTTCCTGCCTCGTCACGCTTCAAAGGTGGTTTGCGTTGTCCGTAAACCGCAGAGGTCTTAACGCTTTCCGGACGTGAACGTGGTAGATGCTGATCTTAATGTCTCCTGAGGGTCTTCTGCTGGGTTTGTTGGTGTTGTTTCCCGTTGGTTTGTGCATTAGTGTGAGCATGGAATGCGAGTCCTTCTTCTGGGCGTTTCTTTAAAAAAACCCAAAGTCTTTGCTTAGCCATGGTGTAAAGATGAATGAAGAAGAAGTAATCTAGTAATCTCCTGCGGGTTTATCCCCTGTTACAGACGATTTAGTAGCTTCCTTTACCGTGTTGGTGTTTTCAGAACTCTGTCAAAAGGGCTTCCTAAGGGTGGTTTTCAGTGAATCAGCTTCTCAGGGAGAATGAAACTAGTATCAAAATTGCACCTGAATATTAACACTAGAAATGAAGTGTGCAGTTTCAGGCTCTCTCATCTTTTTTTTTTTTTCCTGTATTAATTTTAAGCAAAAAGCTGAGAACATACATGAAAACTAATTTTAGCGTGTTGTGTTAAGGTGCCAGCGAGATTTCAGATTCTTGTAAACCTTTAAAGAAAAGAAGTCGTGCCTCAACTGACGTAGAACTGACCAGCTCAGCTTACAGAGATACATCTGACTCTGATTCAAGAGGACTGAACGATTTACAGGTAAAGGCTTATTGTTTCTCACAGGGGCTTGTTCATTGGATCTCTCGATGTAATAGGCTTTTCGGTTGCGTATTGCTAAGTATGTGAACACTTTCCGACAGATTTCATGTATTTCTTAAAAAATAAAGCCTAGTCTTTTTCTTTCTAATCCCCTCCGTCACATTGGTATTAAAAAAAGGTACAACCTTTCTCTACAGATTTCCCTACTTCCTTGTCTGGCCAAACACTGGTTTAGATCACCGGCTCTGTTTGCTGTCTGGAAGGTTGTTGGATTCTTTGGGAGCTGGGGGATGCTGCTCTGTCTTGATGTAAAACTGAAAGGTGTCTGGAGAAGGGGAGGTGGATACCTTAATGGTTTTGTGCTTGTACAGCTGAAAGATCTGTCGAGGAGGCAGCACTTCTTGTATCATTCTAATGAAGTTCAGCAACTTTCAAGGACCCTTGTACCTCTTGGCACGTTGAATGATCTTTTAGTCAGTGGTGATGTAAATGTTTTGTCACAGCGTGGTTATCCTTTGCAAGTGCCTTGTTTGAGCGCCTTGGATTTTTCCCCTTTGCAGGGTAGTTTTGGAAAGCGTTCAGACAGCCCGTCAGCTGCGGCCGATGCCGATGCCTCTGACGTGCAGTCAGTAGACTCCAGCTTATCCAGGAGAGGAACTGGAACAAGCAAAAAAGACACTGTTTGTCAGGTAAATTATGGAATTGTAAAGAAACGCGTACTAAAGTCATATCGTCCTTTTCTGTTTCATCCGACTGACCTTTCAAATTACACTTCTTTGTTTTAACCTTGTCTGGTAGTTTGACGTTTTGGATAAAATAGCAAGGCTTGTAGGAGGTTTTATGCTCTGGAAATGATTTGTAAGCCTTCCTGCATGCTAGAAAGCTCCAAAGCTAGAAGGTGATATCGAACCCATACCTGCTAGCATAAATAGAAGAAGCAGATGCCATTTTCTGCTCCATTTGAAGAATCCTGCCTTATTATCTTAGCTCTGAGGAGATTCCAGCCGGTTTCTGTTCTTCATTAACACCTGGTAGCCCTTTGCTTCTCTGTGTGTCAGGTCCCCTTTGTTCTCTGACTTGCTCTCTGCTTGTTTAAGATCTGTGAGAGCTCTGGCGAGTCTCTGGTGTCCTGTGAGGGCGAGTGTTGCAGCTTCTTCCACATGGAGTGCCTCGGCCTGAAGGCGATGCCCGAGGAGAAGTTCATCTGCGCCGAGTGTAAAAGCGGTGAGTGTTCACGTGTCTGGGAGCGGGGAGGGGGGTCCCACTTTGCTGGGGTCCGAGATGAGGAGTTGCTAGGTCTGGAGAGTGCTCTTGGGTTACTTTGGTCCTTTTAACCTCTGAGGCTAGATTCTCACTTTCCACTTGGCAAGTACCTGGTAATAAAAAACGTAATAAGCTGCTTAGGCTCAGAATAAGGGACTTGTGTGTTAACAGCAAGTACGTAGTTATTGTGGATTATGGTGCCCAGCTTGCTGCTTTGAAGACAAGGAGCCTGTGTTGCTCAAACGACCATAACTGTTCGCTTCAGGATTTTTTTAACAACATCCGTATCTCAAAGAACAGTCTGTGACTGTTGGCCTTCTTTATTCCGTCTTTCCCAAGGAGAACACACGTGCTTTTCGTGCAAGCTTCCTGGCACAGACGTGAAGCGCTGCTCTGTCAGCACATGCGGTAAATTCTACCACGAGGCCTGCGTGCGCAAGTTTGCCACCGCTCTGTTCGAGTCGCGGGGCTTCCGCTGCCCGCAGCACTGCTGCAGCGCCTGCGCCATGGACAAGGACATCCATAAAGCAAGCAAAGGTGAGAGCAGAGCTGGCTCTGAGCGGTGGCAGGAAATTCACGTGCGTCGTCCTGCTGGCAGTGGATGTAGCTCTACCCTCTGCAGTGCATCATGCAGCAAGGAGTGAGGTTTCCATCTTAATGAGGTCGTTAACTTAACCCCAGCCTGGGTGGGAGGACAGGTCGCAGCCCCAGGGCACTGCTGGAATGAACCTGGATCCACACCACTTCAGGCATCTCTTGTCAAGGCCAAGGCTTGGTAGTGCAAGGCCGAGGAGTGAGTGGGTCTTTTAAAGACGGTAGTAGCCTTTAAAACAATTATTTTTCAAGACAAAAAGAATCCTTTTAGAAATTAGTAAAAATAATTAAACGAAACAAGTAAACGCTAGAATGACTGAAATATTTTGTTTTTTCTTAACAGAGTTTTAAAGTGAAAGAGTTAACTTCTGTGAAACTTTTTTTTTTTTTAAAAAAAAAGATGTAAATGTTTCTTTTTAATCAAGTACTGGGACTGGACTAAAACTCAGCCTTGGATCTCTCTGTGGTGTCTTCTGCCATATCCTGACTCCAGGGTGACTCGGTGCATTTTTCTGCGTTTGTATTGAACAGGTCGCATGGTGAGATGTGTCAGATGCCCCATTGCCTATCACTCAGGAGATGGCTGTATTGCTGCAGGAAGCTTGTTTGTGTCATCCCACATTCTCATCTGTAGTAACCATTCCAAAAGGAATCACTCCTCATCAGCTGTAAATGTAGGCTTTTGTTTCGTTTGTGCAAGAGGTGAGCACACTTGTTTTTTCCCCTGTTTTATAGTTCTGTGGTCACTTGTACAGTTTAGTGATAAAAATAATGTGTTTCGTAAAGAACTCCTTCCTTAGGGCTCTCTGGGATTTACATGCTGCCTGTGGGGTTTGGGTTTATTTTTCCATTTTTTATGGTCAACAGTTCTCATGAGACTTCACCTTGCTGTTTGGGCAATAGCAGTGACAGGTAGTCAGAAGGGCTGCTTGCTTTGCCAGTAGGAGAAAGTGGCTGCTAAATCCCTGATTCCAGCCGTGGCACGCTGGGAATGGGTGCTCTGTTACTGTTCACTGCCTTTTAGGCAGAAGGGGATTTTTTCACCACTCACAAACTCAAAACTGTTTTAAGGGTAAAAGGTAGGATTTGCTCACGAACTAGAAAACTTCATTTTAATTTGTAACTGCCATCACATTTGAGAACTTTGGAAGAAAGACGTTTGCGATACTCTATGATCAGGTTTCATGCTGGGATTTTCCATATGCTAAAGTTCTCCCTTTTCTTTTTCTTTTTTTAATTTTCTTTATTTTTTTCTCCCACTGGTTACTTTCTGGCTCTTCAGTCACTCGTCCTCTGCCAGACAGCAGGTTGAAAAGTTCGGTGCACCGGCTGCTTTAGTCCGGTGATGCAGGGCTACCAGGCTAATGGAAGTGACACAGTCAGGTGTTGGAATAACTCCATATATCTTACACAGCATTTCAGCAGTTTGTGTTGGCTGTATTCTCTTAAGGAGCTTTGAAAGTCACTACTAAGGACGTGAAAATGAGTCCTGAAGTTACTTGTTTTCCTGTACATTCACCGAGTCTTAGTTACGAGAACCTGAAAAGTTACAAACTGCTGCCGCTGACTGAATCCTCTGTATTTCACAGCAGTTCTGTGCTTGTTCTTCGAGGAAAATTTGTGTGGGGTTTGTTTCTACTAGGGGTAGCTGGAATCAGGACCCAGTGTGCTTCACCAAAGAAAGATTGTGCGAGGTTTACGTGTAGCAAAGTCCCCAGGATGGCTTGGATTGAGTCCTCTTTAGTGATCTGTGGTCAGCATGAGGGAAATAAGGTGAGGACAGCGCCTGTGGCAGGAGCGCTGAGAATTGCGGCTCAGACAGAAATGAGGAGCTGAATGCGTTAGAAATACTTGAGTGGCTGTATGTGAGAGTGGTTATTTCATTAGTTTTAGTTGTTATCAGAAGGAAGAACTTTGTATTTAGACACAAAGCATTACTGAAGTGAGAAAATCCAGATAACAAGACAAGCAGATTTGCTTGTCATGAGGTACTTGAAATATGGTGTATTCTAGGATGTCTTGTTCACCTTCCCGAAACATCCTTCGTGAAGCACGTTATAGTTCACCTAATTGCATGTGTAGGCCACCCTTGTCTCACGAACCCTCCCGAGGACGTGCTCTCCAGGTAGGCTGACGCCGTTCCCTCACAGCAGTGCTCCAGGCACCCCGTTCCGAAAGCTTCTCTCCAGCACCCAGCTCTGTGTGTGTCCCACGCGGGAAAGATTTGGTGGCCTTCGTGGTAGCTCATCTCTCCTGCTCCCCGGGTCTCGGTTGCTCCGCTCCTCCCATGAATTACTGGCCGAACGCTTCTGATCTGTAGCTGCGGGGCTCTCACTGGGCTGCCTGGCTCTTGGGAGCAGGGAGGGAAACTTCTTGGTGGAGAAAGCAATGCAGCCACGCCAGGCGAAGCAAAGGCGTGCGGGGGGCAGTGCTGCCTGCCCCGACGCAGCGGCGGGAGGGGGGGG